CCTTTCTTCTGTGTAGGTGAGCGGCGGGCTTGGGCATGCGCAATAGATGTCAGCGGGAAGCGTGTTTCTTTTCAAACATGATCGCAAGATTCTTGAAAACAGATCAGCCTGAGAGAACATGAGGATCGACGTGCGATGGGTCCGACATGCACTGACCTAAGTACTGACTTCACCAATCCTTCTAAGTATTCCACTCTTTCGCCACGATCCTAACCTGGAGCGGCATGCGGTTCTCATTCCCTTCACCCTCAACGATAGGCAACATGACGAGACAGTTCTCCCTCCTCACTGCTCTCGTGCGCGCTGTCGCGCGAAACTCCAAGGCGCGGATGAGTGCAGACAGGAAGATCTGCAGTTCGGTGATGCTGTTTGTGCGGATCAGCAACACAGCGTATACACGAGACGGACTCGGACGTCATGCTGATCAGAGTGAACATGGACATGAAGCCTGGATTCATGATAGAAGAGATGAAAAGTGACGCACGCGTATCGCCAACCAACGCACGCCCGATGGCCTGCGCCGAAAGACATGCTGCTCAAGATAGATATCAATACGTGTTAACTCCGCCTCGAAGAAAGTGTATAGACGCACAGATTCTCGTACGGTCCAATGTTCTCCATCTGGGTCCTGGCGATCGTCTCATCCATCCACCGTGCTGGACGCCAAACGTTTGCATCTGTACCCCAGACATTCTCGTTGCTACATTGGCCATGGAGAAGTCAGTGTCTTTGTATCCACGCATAGGGTGTGATGCTTACAGGCTGTACCCGATAGAGGACACAAATACGCGTGTATCCTTCGGCACGAGCACCTCGCTTATCTCCTCGCCCTCGCTCGTGCGTATCGGCTTTGAGAGTGGGATGACGTCATCCTGCGTTGCCACCCGGGAAAGGTAGGGCACGACAGTATCAAAACGCATGGTCTCCTACAGATTCATGTTCAATGACCGCTTTCCTGCACGCGAAAGGCGTGTGTAGATCACCTTGATGACAGCATTCAGTAGAGTCAGGCTATCAAGATCTGCATTCGGGTCTAATTCTATCTCGGCGCGTAGGTCGCGCTGGACGTCCTCGTGCAGGGCGAGCTCGTACAGGATCCAACTGATCGTCGTGAGTGTCGTCTCATGTCCGGCAGCCAGCAGTGTCCTGAGCGACCGGGAGTCGATTCAGCACAGTTGTAACCAATCTCGATATCTGAACGTACGCGAACTGCGGCACAAGCTCTTCGTCTCTCAACCTCCACCTACCCGTCTCTTCAATGTTTGCCTTGACGATCAAGCTGAGCGCATCGGTACCCAGCGCCAAGCCTCTCTTCGCGCCCTCCGTTCGTTCGGCTATGAGCCGTCGAGATAGAGTATTTGAAAGGCGGACATGCCGACGAAGGAATGCGAGGCCGGGATCGGGCAGGTACCGGAGAAGATCAAGGAGTGACATCGGGATGTGCGCCATCATTCCATGCATGAACAGCTTGGGAGAGTCGGGTCGTCCGAAGCCTTTGGCCCTACAACGTCAAGTGGGCATCAGCGTAGTAAAGAGAACATTAGGAGTGAACGACGTACATGAAACCATGCAGAGACTCAGCGAGCTCGTCTTGATTGCCTTCGAGTGCATGAAACTCATAGCCTGATAAAGCATGCCCCACCGCATCGAGCATGCCTCTACTCAGCAATTCTGTCACATCAAACTCTACGCCATCTCTCCGGTCATGTCCGATATCCTTCTCCATGATATGCCTGACGAGGACATCGGCGCGCTCTTTCAGCCCACTCTCGAGCGCCTTGACTTCACCGGCGCCAAACGCCCTAGCAACGGCCCGGCGCTGGCGCCTGTGTTCTTCACCTTCCATGCCGGTCACGCCACCTCCACTCGCGACGATTAGCGCCCAGCGCGCCTCGTGCGGTTTGATCCATACATCGCGGGCTTTGGAAAGGATATGTTGGATTGCGGCGGGGTCGGCTGTCCAGAGCCGATCTTCGCCGAGAGGTGCGCGAACGCGGGCCAGAGAGCCGTACGTTTGGAGAATGTGCAAGGCGTCATTCGGAAGAGTGCCGGCTAGAAGTTGCCGTAGGTTACCTATGCGCAGGATGTACGTTAGTTCGAAGTGCGCAGTAAAATGCGGTGGCGCATACCGAGCAGGAAAGACTCCGGTACAGGTCCACGAATGTGCGCGATAGAGATACGTTTGCGTTTGCGGATGGAAACGTAAAGGGCTGCCGATACGAGAAGTAGCCATACCGAGTTGGACAAGCCGAGCATGTTCCCAGTTGTGCGGTTCAGAGCGAGCATGCTCGTTTATATGCTCGTTCGGGGCTGCGTAGAGCGTGTGGAACGGATGGCACGCCCAAGACGGTAGGATGCACGCCGTTTGGAGGAGATAGCGGTAGTCGCATATCCGTATGGGGCAGGCCAAGTCACAATCCAGAACCGAATAAATGAAGCGATCATTGGTTGTACTTGACAACGACATCTTCCTGCGGGCCCTGCCTGACATCCGTGCCGCTCACGCCCACCCAAACTGTTTCAGCACCCGCTCCGTGGTCTCCCATAACTCGGTCGCGAGATCTTCCCTCTTCGCATCCTCACTCGGCTCCTCCACGACACCATACGGCACGATATACGCCCCCTTCCACTTTCCGTCTTCCCTCCCGTCGTATACTTTTTTCGAGGCAGCGGCCCAAGCAGGCGTATAGCCTCCATCTTTCGGATTGATGAACATCAACGAAAACCCAAAGTTGACGAGGCGACCGAAAGGCAAGGACGTGAAGAGCGATACGTTGCCTTCGGACATGACGTTGCCTGGATGGACCGCGAGGACTGTGATCGGAACATTACGCGTTGCAAGGCGCCGTTGCAATTCACGCGTGAAGAGGATGTTGGCTAACTTGGTATACCCATACGCATTCGTCTTTGGCTTCCAGGTGTGGGAGAAGTCCGAGTTGATAGCCTCGAGGGTATCGTAGCGAGGGTTTGGGACCCAACGGTGCGCTACAGATGTAACCTGCACAAATGACTTAATCTTCTTTCGTTCATCGGACATGTGCTGAGGCTCACGTTTACGATGCGCACGTCCGAATTCGGCTGAGTGGCCGTCTTCTCCATAAGAGGTAATAGAAGCGTCGTGAAGAGAAACGGGCTGATGTGGCTATCAACTTGGTCAGAAGCTATCTGATAATGATGAACAGGAATACACACTTGACGAGGAAGCTTTCGGAAAGTCCCTCTTGCGTAGAAGCGTACGGGCCTAAGATCCTGTATGCCCGATGTGAACGCGCTTAACCCATAGAGAGCCATTATCATCGGACCTGGCAGCATTGTTCACTAAAATGGATGAGCTATCTAGCACTATATCTATGTGCGAAGAAGTGCTTACCAAGAATGTCCAGTCTATCCTCCATTTCTTCGAACTTCAGCGCGGACTTCCTCACGCCAACTGGGTCGCACAGATCCAAATCAAGCCATACTACCTCACCATCGCCTTCGTCGTCGCCAAGCCCCTCCTCACGCAGCCTCCCAAGCGCAGTTTCGAACTTTGCTTGCGAGCGTGCAGCGAGATAGCACTTGGCTCCTTGCCGCGCAAGGTGGAGGAGGATATACAGACCGATGCCTGAGTTGGCGCCTGTCACGAGGGCTACGCGTCCGCGAAGGTCGGAAAGCTCTGTAGAAGGGTCATATGCGGGCGCCATCGGCTACTCGGTGCAACGGGACAATGGGTATGTGCATGAACTGTGTTCATATATCCCTTGGTGCTGACGGCGGCACCCGAGGCGAACAGGGCACGGATACGAGTACCATTGTATACGTGAGTGAGTCCTCAGTTACTCGCTTCATCCAAAGTTCTCTAGATCTGAGCTAGAGCATAGATGTCATTTAGCAAGATAGGCCTTCTCAAGCTAGACGATGGTGGTTCGAGAGCAGCACCAGCCTCTTCGGCGCTTATTTGCTTCAGCGCTGATGCGGTTGGCTCCGTGCGTGGCGATGACGTAGTTGAACGCCCCTAACCGTAGAGCCGGAAAAGTTTGAACCCCTAACTTGGCATCTGACCTCCACCATCCATCTTCCTCTTCCCTCTACATCCGCACTACAAACACAATGACGAGTCTGCTACGAGACACGCTCAAGAATGCCGCTGAAGAGTCGCGCGTACAGGATCGGCCTGACAACGCCGAGCCTGCGAGCGAGGACTCTGATAACGAACTGATCACCGTCGTACGTCAACCTCACATCAACCGCAATATATTTTCTAAACCACAACCACTCTCCCCTTCAATATATAACAGGAATCTACCCCGGGCACAGCTGCACCATCTCGCCCTGCATCACGTACCGGCATGCGTCGCCCAGCTGCAACATCTAGTCCGCTCAAGCCACTCGCCGGCGCCACCAACGAGCGCCGTACCCTAGACCCAATCCGTTTGATACCCACCACTGTATGCCAGAGGATCTTCAGCATGCTCGACTTGCGCTCTCTCTCACGGTGTGCGCGGGTCTCCCGCAAGTGGAGCAAGAGCCAGACGCTCAACTACGGTACGCCGTTTCCGCACTTTCGGAATCATGTGGATCTGCTTAACTGACTCGATGTGTGTGTAGTGTGGTTCCAGTACTACCGCAAGGAGACCTTCCACGATGAGTCTCTCCCGCCCGGTAAATGGACCAAACGCGAATCCAAAGAAAACTGGCGTCAGCTGTACGCGAAGGACGTCGGCAAGAAGGAGCCCGACCCCTGGCCTGTGCGGCCTCCGCGCTCGTCGGGATACAATTCGGGACACGCGAGCGGGTATGTGACCCCGCGTGAACTCAAGGAGCAGAAGTGGGCGGAGGAGAACACTGCTGTCGAGAAACTCAGCAAGGTTGAGATGAGGGGCGTCTATAAGGAGCTTGGTGGGCGTAAGTCCAAGTCGAAGGGGAAGGTCGGAGCAACTGGAGGCGCGAGGGATCGTGGAGGATGGGCTGTGTCCGAAAGGGACGAAGGGGAGGACTCGTTCTATTGATGTGGAGGACGCCTTGGATAACTGATCCAACATTGAATGGAATATTGCTGTACTTATATGATCGGGCGCTCATGACTGCTACTCCTTCTCAGCGCCTCTGACCAGCGCTTGTACATCTGATTCGCGCATCTGTATATCACACTGTACCCATAGAGATAGACCCGTAGAGGTTATCGTCTCAATCGCATCACGCACTCGCCTTCCATGCCCACATTCTGGAGTCCTTACACGATCAAGTACACGATTGGCAAAGAGGACGCCTCCGGGCCGAAAGGTCGGTCAGAATATCCGTGGCCGAGTGCACGTGTCCGTCATCTCTGTTGTTGATCGCGGCAAGTCGCGTTCTTGCGTTCCTCCCTCATGGCAACGTTTTCCTGGTGCGAGTCGCTGTTGAGGACGCCCAGCCAGCCTCTGACTCTTGAGACAGACTTTGAGGCAGTAGATCAACACGTCACATAAGTGCGATGTCAACTTTCGCAGTGCAGGACGCTGCCCAGCTCGCTATGCTGGGAGCGTCATTATTCATGAATTTCCAAACTTCGCTTGAGCTCAGTGACCTTCATCTTGCGATAGATGCACAGCAGCGTGCCATTGCTCTTATGCACCAGACGCATCCTGATCAAGCAACGGTACTGACTGACCTGGGGCATTCTCTTTGGACCCGCTTCGAACACCTCGGACAGTTGGATGATCTTGATCAATGTATCTCCGTTCAAAGACGTGCTGTAGATCTCACGCCTGAAGATCACCCTGCATGGGCCTCTCGAGTCGAAGCCCTCGCCATCTCACTCCACTCACATTACGCATGTGTTGGTGACATCCGCGAACTCGAGGCCGCAATCAGCAAGAAGCGGACTGTCGTCAGCGTCACACTCGAGGGGCATCTCTACTATCCCTTGCGCCTCGGAAACCTCGCAGCCTCCCTGTGCACACGATTTAAATGTCTGGGCGAGGTACGCGATCTTGACGAAGCCATCGCCACGAACCAGCTCGCCGTTCGGCACACACCCAAGGATGACCCCGATAGATCGATGTGGCTCAGCAACTTAGCTGTCTCTTTGAGATACCGCTTTGCACGACTTGGAGAGATAGATGACATTGAGAATGCAATTGCGGCGGATAGGCTCGCTGTCAATCTCACGCCTGAAGGCCATCCTGACCGATCGCTGAGGCTCGGTAACTTTGCCAACTCTCTGGGGTCTCGCTTTGAGCGTCTCGGCGAGCTTTCAGACCTTGAAGAAGCTATTACCGCACACATGCTTGCTGTCGATCTCACACCGGAAAATCATCCTGATCGGCCGGGACACTTCAGCAGCCTTGCGCGATCCCTCAGGCAGCGTTTTGAGTCTCAAGGATCATTGCAGGACCTTGAGGATGCGATCAGGGCGGGTATGCTCGCTGTCAATCTCACACCTGAAAGCCATACCGACAGGCCATCGCGTATGCTCGACTGCGCGAGCTCCCTGAGGTCTCGCTTCGAATCCCTAGGCGATCTACATGACCTTGAGGATGCGATCGCCGCTACGGAACAGGCTCTGTGTGCAACGCCCGATGGGCATCCCGGCCGGCTTGCCCAGCTATACGACTTGGGCCTTTCGATGAAGGCTCAGTTCGTACGTCAACAGATCAAAGCTGGCTTTGACGCCGTCTATGATCAGTTCATGCAGGCGGCAATCCAACCACTGGGACATCCAACCGTTCGAATGGAATCCGCGCGGGAGTGTGTCCTTCTATTGTCCAATTTCCCCGAGTTTAGCTCCTCAGATTTGGTACTCGATGCCCATTCCCGTATCATCAAGATCTTCCCTGAGATCGCGTGGCTAGGACACAGCATCGAACGACGATACGAGGAGTCAGCCAGGCTTGGGGCCGAGATGAACGCTGCCATCTCCGCTTTCATCAGGTTGCAGTCAAGATACCAGGCAATTGAGTGGATGGAGGCCGGCAGATCCCTTGTCTGGTCGCAGATGTTCTCCTTACGGCAGCCCTTGGTAGACCTTGAAAATGCATATCCGGATCTTTCTGCGGAGCTGCAGACGGTCTCTTCAGCGCTTCAGCAAACGGGCAGTCGGTCGCAATCCATACCGCAACGAACCCGCCATTTGACACTGAGCCGAACTTCCTCGGTTCAGTCCGATGCAGCCGCCCCTACATCTTTGGGTGCTCCTTCCGCCTTGGAGCGTCATCGAAAACTTGTATTGCAGTATCAAGAACTTCTAAAAGAAGTTCGTATTCGGCCCGGGTTTGCGAACTTCTTGCAGCCGCCCAAACTGTCTAGTCTCCTACCATCTATTGAACACCTCGATGGACCCGTGGTCTTCATCAACGTACATTCGTCGTCCTGTGATGCACTGGCGCTCTTCCCCAACGGTGCCATTCACCACATCGCTCTTCCCGACCTCACCGAGAGCGCAGCCCATAAGCTACGGTCGGCATGGACGCGCTTTCTTCGCTCGTCTAATGCGCGCACGAGAGGCATGGCATCTGTTGAGAGGTCCATCCCGGAGCATCGACGCTCAAACATATGTGGATCCATACTGTGGAAGCTCTGGATCTGGATCGTGCGTCCGGTTCTACAAGCACTGAATCTTGTACGCCCGATCATGTCACGCGTAAGGGTGTGATTGCTGAACGAATCTCTAGATGAACGAACATGCCCCATCGGGGAAGCTGCCGCATATCACTTGGTGCCCTACAGGACCGGTCACGCAGTTGCCGCTGCACGCTGCGGGGATCTACGACCTATCACACGCTTCGCGGTCGCAGCACGTCTATGACTTCGTAGTCTCATCATATACTCCTTCTCTCGCGGCCCTCCTACGCTGCCGGGAGGCCGTACGGCCGCATTATCGTCAGCCAGAAGTTCTAGTGATCGCGCAATCCAACACTGAAGGTTGCACACCGCTTCCGTACACGCAAGAGGAGCATAAACGCATAGGCTCTCTTTTCCCCGAAGCCACATTCACCGTTCTGAGCGATCAAGATGCGACTCGGAAGCACGTCATCGACGCGATGCAACAGAATACCTGGGTGCATCTTGCGTGCCACGGATACCAAGACCTGAAGAACCCGACGCAGAGCGCCTTCGCCCTCGACGATGGTCCTTTGACGCTGTTCAAGCTCATGGGGACGATCATAGAAAGCTCTGAGCTCGCGTTTCTGTCCGCACGCGAGACTGCTGTCGGGGACGAGAATATACCGGAAGAGTCTGCGCATCTTGCGGCTGGAATGCTGGCAGTCGGGTTCAAGGGCGTCGTCGCGACGATGTGGTCAATCAGGGATGAAGATGCGCCTGTGATCGTTGAGGCGTACTATAGGAAGCTGATCGAGACGCGGGCGTCAATCGAGGGTATAGGATATACGGGCGCAGCGTATGCGTTGCATGAGGCGATGAAAGTGCTGAGAGAGCATGTGGGCGAACGCAACTTCGTGCGCTGGGCGCCGTTCGTGCACTTCGGTGTTTGATCCGGACCCGCGTCGGTGGGCGCTCTACCGCCGTCAATGCTTGTCATAGAATTAGAAATGACTGGGATACGTTTACAGGGAGGGCATATGCCAGATGGGTATAGTACATTGCGATCGTGAACTTGAGAAAGTCCGTTGGAATGGAGATGAGCTAGTGTGAGGCAAGAAAGCGTTCAAGGGAGCGGCTCTCTGCTCGATGACAGTCTGTTCAAGTGAATGTACACATCCGTACCATACCCCTCCATCGAGATGAGCTTAAGGTCGCCACCGAAGTACCTCGCGTACTGCGGAATGAGTGTCAGCGACCCCTGACCAACGAAGAGACGGAAAGTGGCATACCAATCTAGACAGCGGCAACCCGTACCCGAAGCCAGCCATAGGCGCCTTGAAGTCGCTCGCCTGGAAGTCCTCCTCAATCGCCTGTCCCTCCATGGTGGTGTACATGTACGTCCAGATGAGCGGGACAGCGCTTCTTGGGATTCCTCCGCCTTCGTCGCTGATCTTGATTGTGATGTCCTCCTTACCCTCCACGACAACGACACGTATAGGTGGCATATGCGAAGGGTCGGCAGTACGTCCATACCGCTCCACCACCGCACGCAAGGAGTTCTTCAGGAGCTCGAAGCAGATATGGGACAAGTGACCGGGGACATAGGCGAAGTGCAAGTCGCGCGGGCAGATGAGTTCAACCGGGGGTCCCTTGAACATGGCGTAGTGTTCTTCGCACACGAATCGGGCGTTCTCGATCGCTTCGTGTACGATATCGTGGACGTTTGACTGGGTACAAATGATGCCGACGTAGTCCGGATGCGGTTGCAGCGTATTCAGCGCGATATCTGCCCAACACACGTCAGCCTTCCATTTAAGATGTCGAGATGTCAAGACTTTGATTAATACTACTCACGTTGCCCGATGAGGAACCGAATACCGATACGGCTCATATAAAACCTATCCAGCCACGCCTGCATATCCAACCCAATTCTTTTCGCCTTCTGTTGTCTCTTCCACTCCAAAACACCCTGTGCCACGGTCGTGACGGTCGGATCGTGCCTCCTCTTGATCTTCTCAAGCGTCTGCGTGAAGCGCGTATTGTAATCATGTACCGCGGGCGGCCATATAATCTCTTTGTCCTTTTCGCTGGTGAACGATGGTGGTGCGGCTGGAGGGGAAGACGCGTCCACGACGTCCGAGCCGGCGTAGTAACGCTTCTCGACAGGGATACGGAGTTTCAAGCGGTTCGCGTTGGCCGAACCATTGGGACCGAAGAGGCCATTCAGGTTTTGGTAGTGATGGACGTCCTCGAGAGAGGGGTTCGGAACGCTGTCGGGTAAAGCGGACATTGCTCCGCCGGAGGCAGCTAACGCCGCACGCACATCGTCCGTCAGGGTTAACGGCGGGAGCGTGATCAACTCCTGTACAAGACTGTTCAGATCCAGTGGCTACAGATAATAGAGACCCGAGCGCACCTCGAATGACTGAGCATACCAGTCCTTGACCTTCTTGATGCTCGGCATGTGGCTCAGATTGTGTGGCAGTTCGTCGAGCTCCTTCATCCGGTGCGCGAGCCGCACGGGCAACTCCTCGGCCAGAAATTGGCTAGCCTTGAACAGCGTACCCTGACTCGGATTCTGTCCGAAGAGCACCATCTGCTGCAGAGATACTACCCCGCACCTCTCAGCATCCGCATTCCGGGGTACAGGTACAAAATACTCACCTCCGGTCTGCGGGAACGACGCAAAGTGGCAGATCTTATCCCATAGCGCGGGAGTTATCCGAAAAGACATGACTGGCCGACTTGCGTGTTACCTGTCTTCTTCCAGCGTCGAAGTGTAGGACGAAGGGATGGGAGAGAGATGGAGAACAGGAGTCAAGCGAGTGGCCGAGGCGCGTGCGACCGTTTACGATATAAACTGGCTCGGAATCCGGGGTAAACACATGCCAAGCGCCCGCACCAAGCCGCCGCGGCGCGCCTTCCCTTGCGCCGCGATGATCCCCTCCGTACAATCATGCTTGCATACCATACAATTCCCGGGCTGGGGAGGCAGCGGGAGCACACTCTGGTGCGCGTTGCCCCGCGTTCGCCCGCATTCGGGTCAGCTGGTGCAGGAATGAACGGTCTGGACGGGGCGGGGTCGATGCGGGGTCGGCGCGCGCGGCGGTACTTTGCGCCACTCGGCCTGTCGCTCGGCTTTACACGAACGTCCACTCCCCATCCACGAATTTCTGTCTTCTGTTGTATGCTTGGCCGGCCCGCGGTTCTAGGCATTTGCTTGTGTCTGGTGACTGTAGACTGATGGAGGACTGCGCGTCGCCTGTGGACGTCGTTTGCACGTTGCGAACTTGGAAAGTGTAGGAGATGTCGCCAAGAGGCCGACGCTACGAGGGGACCTTCTCCACAATGCAATGCCCACTCTACGATCTAGCGGGACCCTCGTCGCGCGTTGCCAGGTTGTCGATGACCGGAATTCTTTGGGGCAATGTTCAAGGACTGTTGCTGCGCGCGCACTGGAGGCTGAAGCGCTTGCCTCACAAACTTTCATAAGCTCGTAAGTAAAAGCAATGGTGACGATGGCTCGCGGAAATTGACCCGCTGCTATTTCAAAGATCTCGGGCAGTCTTTCCGCTTCGGCGCTCATCATCACCGTCGCAGGGCGTCGTCTCGCCTATCTACCCTTATCTACCGTATATCATCCTGTGGGTTTCGTATCGTTCAGCCCAACGCCCGCTTGTGCTGCGTGCTCACTGATGCCATGCACGCGTTCATGTTATCAACAACTGACACGGCCAGATCGAGCCTCAAGAGGTGTGGCACCACGGTGCACCCGTCATGTGTTGTAGGACTTCGTTCATATATGTCTTCTGACCGAGCGTTCGCAGTGCATGTCATCATCCACCCCTGTCTTCTCCCAAGGCTTAGCTTCGTGGATAGCGCGAGAACGCTTGCGAGACACGTATAAAATGCCTTCGATCCTGCCAGCCCGAGGTTCTCTACCCTCGCGTCGTCTACCCGCCAGCACAGCTCCTGCTACCGAAAGCTGAACCTCAGCCAGGCCCAAAGTACGTGGCGCTCCTTCGCGCTAGAGCTGTCTCGTCGTCCCCAAAGGGCTGATCGAGATAGTTCAAGCGCGAAGGATCGCCCAATCCCCCCTATACTGAAAAGATTGGGGGGGATTCCCTCGGGCGGGTCTGCGTGACGTCGAGAAAGCTCCGTCGCACGCGGCGAAGGG